GTTGTTAAGCAGAGTGATGGCATTTGGGGGAAAAACTGTCCTTGTGTCTTGTTGTTCTGGTGTGTAGTGCCCTATAGCCTCATTTTGAGGGTAGAAGTTGAAACAATTTATGTCCAATTTATGTGAGGGGTCAGTAGATATTTTCACAGCCCCCTTTTTGACTCCTGCAGCATACAGGTCCTCAATGGAAGGCAGGTTGGTAGCAATTGTTTTTTTCTGCAGTTCTAATTATCCATGCTATGAATGTCCTTTCCCAGAGCTGGATGGGCCACAACAAGGAAGACAAAGAAGAGGGTGGGTCAACCTATTCTCCAAAGCACCTGAAGGTGGCTCAGGAAGCAATGGATGGAAACTAATCAAGAAGAGAAGAAACCTAGAAGTAAGGAGAAATTTCCTGACAGTGGAAACCATTAACCAGTGGAACAAGTTGCCTTCAGAAATCTTGGGTGTTTCATCGCTGTAGGTTTTTAAACTGGACTATTCAAATGCATTTGGATAGCCCAGAAGAGTAGAGGGTCTCCTGCTTGTGCAAGGGGTTGGGCTAGAAGACCTTCAAGGTCTCTTCCAACTCTATTATGTTATTCTGTCTTTGAATGCTCCCTGAAGTATTATAAAGTAGAACATTTGCTGAAAATTATGTGGTTTCCCAGCCAACACCTGACATCAACTACATCCAGAATACATGGGTGTTCTGACTCCCAACCAACAAACTTAATGTCACCCAAAGCATTCCATATAAATCTATCAGCAAATACAGGAAATAACCAAGAGGCCATTGCACATTCCTGTATAATTCCCTGCTCAGGGTTCAACTATTTGCTAAGCATTCTAATATATTTTCACCCATGTTTATTCTCACGAAATGCCACCTATTCTTATCACATTAAGCAGCCATCCTTCAACTTCATACTAATACAACCTCCCATAATTTAGAATCATTAATTCTTTTTTTTAAGTGCAACGTAATTTTTTTTATCACATTTAATTTCTAAAAGGGCAAAAATATGGTCTTCCTCCGATACCGGTATTAAGCCATCCAGCAATTCCCAAATATTACTTGTGGCACCTCTTGCACCCTTGTGATTAAAATCCTACCTCACTTTTCACAGCATTTTCGACAAACTCATTCCCTGGAGTTTTCAGTCTTGCCAGTTTTCACTTTGGATAGAGGAACAATGGTAAAATTCTTTCAATTGCCAGGATGGCATAAAGATAAGGGAACAGGGATTGAATAGGATAGGATAGGAAATAGAATAGAATAGAATAATTGGCCAATTGTGATTAGTTTATTTTTATATATAGCAGTGATAGCTAACCTTTTTCTCCTTGCATGCCAAAATCATGTGCAAAATAGAGAGTGCGTACATGTGCATTCCATAATGCAATGTGCCCCACCTCCCCATGCATGCGCGCAACCCCTCCCATGCCCCATTTTGGGCCTAGCAGTCCTCCCTGAAGCCTCCTGGGACCAAAAACATGGCGCAGGCCCCCTCCCGCACCTGCCCACACTCCACTTTGGCATAGCAGGCCTTCCTGAAGCCTCCTGGGACCAAAAACGGGGCACATGGGGGACCCTACAAACACATGTGTGTCTCCCACATGTGCAGCAGAGACCCTAAAATCAGCTGGCCGGCGGGAGGCACGTACACATGCGTGGTGGCACTGAGCTGGGTGGCAGCTCATGTGCCCGCAGAGTGGGCTCCTTGTACCACCTATGAAACGTGTGCATAGGCTCGCCATCAGGGATCTATAGCATTTATAGAACAGTCTTCCAGTACTTGAGGGGCTGCACAGAGAAGAGAGAATCCACCTATTCTCCAAAGCACCTGAGGGCAGGACAAGAAGTAATGGATGGCAGATCACTAAAGAGAGAATCAACCTAGAACTAAAGAGAAATGTCCTGGTAGCAAGAACAATTAATCAGTGGAATGCCTTGCCTCCTGAAGTTGTGGGTGTAGGACAGTGATCAGTTTTCTTACATTGTGCCAAATTGGGGGTGGGGGAGTGGAGGCTATCTCCCTGCCCACCTGCACATGCGGACGCAAACCCCCATGCGCATGTGTTGGCAATCCCCCCAGGTACTGGAGGATTTCCTGAAGCATGGGTGTGTGTGTGAAAATGGCCTCCCCCGGCCCACCGCAGGCCCTTCAGAAGCCGAAAACGGATCGTTTCCGGACTTCCGGTTGGCTCGTCGGGTCCGTTTTTGCCCTCCCCAGGCTTCAGGAAAGCCCCTGGAGGCTGGAGATGGGTGAAAAACGGTCCCAACGGGCCAACCGGAAGTTCAGAAATGATCTGTTTCCAGCTTCCGGAGGGCCTTTGGTGGGGGGGAGTCCATTTTCACCCTCCCCAGACTTCAGGAAAGCCTCTAGAAGCTGAGGAGGGCAAAAAAACCTCCTCCAATGGCCCCACCGGAAGTTTGGGTACGAACTTCCAGTTGGCTCGTTGGGGCTGTTTTTCGCCCTCCCCAGCCTCCAGAGGCTTTCCTGAAGCTTGGGGAGGGCGAAAAATCAGCTGACCAGGGCTCACATGCGCGCTGGAGCTGACGACTGGCATGCCGCCAAATATGACTCCACAGGTGGCATACATTGCATAGGTTCGCCATCGCGGGTGTAGGATCTCCTGCCAGGGGGAGGAGGTTTGACTAGAAGGCCTCCAAGATCCCTTCAAGTCGTATTGTTCT